CGTTCGTTTAGGAAGCRGATCAGGGAATAAACTYTCAATTCCCTCATAAGTTATTCTTATAGTGATAAGATATAAGAATACATAGGCAAATAGAATATATGACAATATTTAAATATAATATATATTATCCTAAACTGACAAATCATCTCCGTTCAGAATCGTTTTTCGTATACAATGATACCTATCATTGCATTCAAATTTAACCTACCCTAGTCAGAGGTCCATCCCACCCCCTAATGTAYAGCAGAGTGGTACCCACTTACCCGCTTTTTTTAGATTGTAATTTACTTTGTACAAGTATAGTTGCAAGCTGCAGCTACAAACAGTTTTAATTTGGTATAATATACTTAATTTGAAAAAATTGTATTTGTTGCTGAGTGCTGAAGCACAAATAGGTGATTTTCGAATATTGATTATTTTACATTCTAATATAACGCCAACCAGCTTTAATTTTTGTTTTAATTTTACCAAACAGTAAATAGTAGGTACATAATAGGTTATTAAACGGGCTGAAGAAAATCTTTTGTTTACTGTTTAAGGACAGTTAAATCATTAACACATAAAATGTATATGAAAGCATTTTATATATTTGACAACTTATTGTAAAGAAAATATACATGGCCTGTACATTATAAATAATAAAATATGTTTCTTTAAAAAAAGAAAAAGAAATAAATCACAGAGATAATACAAAAACAACGTAAAAAACTTATCTTAAAGTATAGTACTATATTATTATAGTTAATAGTTACATAATACAATATTATAATTATACTGTAAAGTTTAAATTGTTACATAAATAATCATCAACAGTTTTCTTGACAAACATAGTAATATTATTAAATGGTATTTATACAGAAGATATTGTCAACAAATTATACATTCAGTCACACGCATTATTTTACATAATAATAATAATAATATTGAATTATAAATAAGTGTAATAGTAGTATATATGTAATGTATTAGTACCGATTGACGAAAAGTAAAAGTAATTGGATCGCATGAGGGTTTATTAGTATTATTATTATTAATGATAAAAATAAATATTTATTAAYTAACTATTATTTAATATTTTAGGTGAAATGCCGAGATCGTGTTGGAACAACCAGTGGTGAACGTTTATGCGAGAAACTGTGGGAGTYAATAAATAGGAAAGTGCGAAACAAAGATTATTTGTTTCATTTGCACACTACTAGATAATATCGTTACACMTATGGTCGGATAGGTATGGAGGGTTAACGGCTAATTTATCTGAAGAATTAAAAAAAAGTGCAGTTCAATTATACAGTGGAATAATAATATGGTTTGGATTTTTACACAACCGGTATAACTAACCTAACCTATGTTATAGTAAGACGGATTCTAACAGCTTTATCCAAAGTCTCTGACTCTAGTAACGGTAGTGTCACGATCAAAATAAATTGTGTTGTGGTCTTGTGGATGGTTGTATTGATTGTTGTCTATTATTTAGAAAAGTAGCATAAGTTTGTTATAAGATATAAAACTATGATAATAGTATGTAATATAATGAGGTAACTGTCGTAAAACTACCGATTGCGATAAAATATTTTGAGGGGACTGCGTTCTCATGGCGATTCTTAATCAGCAAATAACGATCGATTTCACAGGACAATATAATTTATAAATTTATATACATATATTTTCTTGCTGCTATGCGTGCGTATGTGATGGAATATTGAAAGCGAAATTCAGTCCGTAGTAACTACGGCGACGAGTCATATGATGTATGCGATTGTATTTAGGGTTACAATATTGTACCATACTGCGGTGACGTGTCGAAAGGTTTATTTTATTACTTTATTAATATTGATGTAGGCATTGAAAGTCAATCTATGATGGAAAATATGTGAGTGTTGCGAATTCTTGATCTTCAGTAAAAAAAAAAAAAATGGTTGGCCACACCATTGAAACGCAGTATTTTTATATTTTATAATAACTATTATAGTACTATTTATATTCATGATTCTCTGACGATTGTGCGTTAAAGAACTTGATTATACAAAATTGTCACAGTCGATCTCAACAATTCACATTTTATAACATCACATAATTATTTGAGTTGGTACCGTTGGAAATATAATATATTTACTGATTTCTGTGCATACTCTTTAGGTAATTTTGTGGTCTATAACAAAATATGTCATATATGCGGGATACACGGTGAAAGTAAGTGCAAAAAGTTTTTTTTTTAAGCTGAACATTCTTCAATATTACTGACATAAAGATACCTAATCCATAGAATGATATTATTTGGAAGTAGTTCGGGGTATGTAAAAATATATAATAGGTAATACATATTTTTTTGTGATCGTTTATTTGAGCAAATTATATCGAACAAAAATGATTGTGTTTATAATATAATATTATCGATAAAAATTAAAACATTATCGATTTAGAAATATGTATTACTTAGAACGAGAGTCCATCATGTTGTAGTAGATGAGTCGTTTAAAGTTGGTTAAAAAACAACGAAAAAGACTTCGTAGTTTATTTTTCGGGTATGAAATTACTACACAACCGTAATCTATCTGAGAAAAAACCGTACACGAGTGGGGCGAATGAATTAAACACGTCTTATATAGTTATATCTTCACAAATGTCAAAAAATATTTAATCAAAAACTGTGATAGATTGTTGTTTGTTATGTTTTTACTATGTTGAATATATTTTAATTATTTTTAAATAAAAACAATGCGAAATTCTTTACCATTAACATACTCTAAATAATTAAAATATTTAGTTCACACATTACGAGTGTATGTCTCGTATATATTCTAAGCACGAACAAATAACATTTTCTTATTTTATTACAAGTAGTATTTTCAACAACACCAACCATTTATAATAATAAATACTGCAAACTATATATATACCTATATACTCGTTTATAATATGTAATATGTATATAATATAATATATATTATGTGATATAAACTTTAAAGTTATTTATATTTTTTTTAAATCCACAAACAATAGCATTAAAATTAAAAACAGTTTACATCGATAGTTCAACGATGTTTACTGATTCAAAATTCATTTTCCAAAATGAGACAATGAAATAATACATACGTATATATTATATTATATTAACGAACTCTTATTTTCTCATGAATATTGTCCAATTATGGACGAAAAATAATAWTATTATGTTTAATAGTGTGATTTTGACATGTAATGCACTGTAGTCTATAAATATTATATTATATCAGTGACCCTGAGTTTTCTATACATTTTAAGAATAATAATATAAATAATATATATTTATATATAATATATTTATGCCTATAATATTTATGTGTCACACTCCATATAACTTTTTTATTAACTTTCTTACATAACTTATTTTTTATTTTTCCTTAAATAATATAGGTAGGTAATAAACGTTTATGAAAATAATATCAATCGAATATATAAGGATTAATGATAAGTAACGTTAATGTTAAATGACTAGATACTACATCGTTACAATTGGATTACACGCAAATCAAACACCGACATATTATGCACTCAACTATACTATATAATATGACATACTTAATAACTTTAATAGTAACGTAAGTATTAGTGTAGTAGTAATTGTATAGTGTTGGTAGGTAGTTAGTCATTTTAGTAGTACTGGTAGTAGTGTACTAGTGTAGTAGGATAGTATTGGTAGGTAGTACAAGTATTATAGTTTTTCGTAAATTGTCGTCTAGTTAACATTACAAATTTATTATGATTCATGTAAAATATTATAAAAACGACAAATAGAGTACCGGAATGAAAAAAAAAAATATTAAATACATTTAGGCGAATAAAAATATCCAATTCATTTTTTCCAAGCTATTTTTACATTATTATTATGTTTACGTACGTTAAATCCGGTATGCGCGTACGTGTGATATATCGATTTTAGCACCATAATACGATTTATACATTAAACATAATATCATAACTCATTAAGCTTAAGCTATGTTATACTTATACGTAAAATACAAATAAATGATAGTAATAATAACATATTTATTTTTACAATTACATTAAAACAAAACATAATATAGAGCAAATTTTAAGAAAAAAAAAATATATATTATATTTTATGTGTCATCACGGCACAATATGGCATTCGTAAATCGTATTGAAGACCACCGTCTCAAAAAGATATGAA